AAAATATTCTTTTGTTGGAGGTAAAAAATACACCAAAGATAAAAACCTGATATCTGCAAGCCAGAAACCAAAGAGAGCTGTGTCAACATCTCTGGTCTGTGCAGGAGGCAGAGAGACAAAAGCATCGATCCACAGGTAGACACCAAAACAAATGGATTTTGTCACAACTTTGAGGGACGGCGTCTTTGACACGAACCTGCTGAAGAAAAAGTCTGTGGAGGTTAAACCCTGCCTTGTCTCTCTAAGATACACATTATATCAAGAACCATGTAGTAAGTCACCTGTGGTAAGGCATAGAATAGTGCCAGGAGTGGTACAAACTATGTCATACGGGAATATTATTTTGAGTTTTCAGAGAAACCTCTGTACTGATTTCCACAGTGGCTACAAGGGCTTATAGTTCCATTGCAGTAAATAAAGGGACCTTTCCCCACACTCTTGGCAGTATTCATTGTTACTGTTAGCCACAGATGAATGAGAGAGGAAGATGTGATATATATACCCAATGGGGTTTTATTCCCCTGTGAAGAAAGATGGCATCACCATACTCAGAGGAAAATGAAAAGAGCTGGAAATTATTCTGTAAGCAAGAAAGATCTCTCTGTCTCTGTCTCTGTCTCTCTCTCTGTCTCTCTCTGTCTCTGTCTCTGTCTCTCTCTCTCTGTCTCTCTGTCTCTCTCTCTCTCTCTCTCTCTCTCTCTCTCTCTCTCTGTGTGTGTGTGTGTGTGTGTGTGTAGTGATGGTATAGACCATAAAACCACACAAGGAATGGCTGGGAAAGAGAAAGACAAAAACAATGAAGACGTCATTTTTGAAGTCCATTACTATGTATACAATATACAAATTAAAATAGTAATAATGAAACAAACACACAAGCCATACAGTGTCTGGTCTAGGTTTCTGGATCTGCATTTCTTTAGGAAGAAAGAAAGTGTAGATATGAGCAAAACACTGGGCTGGAGACAGTGGATTTCGTTAGGAATGTGGGGGTAGCTTGGTGGCTCATAGTATGCTGTGTGTCAGGGCCAGTCTCTACTGCGACATTAACTAAGGCTCCTGTTAGGTGTTATCAGCATCCATACCCTTTGCTTTTCTTAGAAAATTGGTCCTGTCCCTCTCTTCCACTCATACTTGCAATCTCCTTAATTGGAAGATGTAAATGATCAACAGCTATTCAAAGTAGAAATGTGGGTGGACTCAGTTCCTGCAGGACCAACTTCTCCTCATGTAGTTTCTGTCCCATGCTTCGTAAATCCTACCTTCATTTTAAACCAACTTTAACTCAATGAGCTTTTTGCCCACAAAATAGTTGTCTGACAGTTACTACATATTAATGAGAGTTGCTAAAAATAATGAAATTCATTTACCATGCAGGGGGATAGACTTTTGTCTTTCAAAAGCAGTACTTATTTGGTGTTATATGAAATACGTTAGAGACAGAAATACAATTTTAGGTAACAAATACTTCTGATATGGGTATTTTGCATGCAGAGCTCTTGAGGAGTTCAGTAATCCAGTTTTCTCCTCTATCTCTGTGTTATATTTGTCAAATGCCGAGGTATCAGTAAATATTACATAAACACACAAGTTAATTCCTAGTGACGAGATAATCAAAACTCCTAGTCTTGCTCTTTCTGGTGATGTGTGGGTGGCTGTGGACCATGGCAATTGCAGCCTTCAAACAAGACATACAAGCATCGTGCCCCAGATTTGGAAAGGCATTTTCTGTGTTGATTTGAAGCTTGGCTCTGACTGTAGTTTATCTGTCACAGGTTTGGGGAGGAGAAGACAATCCTCCCACAGGGAAATCAGGGCCCACTAACATAGCAACTGAATACATCCTTGACTGGGGCAGGAGTCACTGCTATTTTGGTCACTTCCAGATGTCTGCTGCTGTAAAAGGAGAAAGACATGTGGCATGCCTACTGCATGGCAGGGGAAATCATTTCTCTTCTAGGGCTCACAACTCATATTTAACCATCACTATACTTCTTAGATGAATTTGATAAAGCTTTTGAAATTAGAATTGAATTTAGTCATGCATTTATCCACTTCCCTGTCCCGCGCTACCGTCTCGCCAGCAAGAACGACGTGGGACACTTAGGATCCTTCTGCAGAAAAGCTTTAATGCGTCTTGAGAGAGAGAGAGCATAAGCTTACAAAGCGGAGACCCAGAATGAGGGGAATCCATCCCTTATATAGGAAACAGTCCTTGCTTCGGACGTGTCACTCTTGGATTGGTCCTCTGCCCATCAACCCAGATAATGCCTCTGGAGTAGGCAGGGACAGCAGCAGTGGAAAGTTATTAAAGGCGTGTGCTACAACACCTTGAACTCACAGAGATCTGTCTCTGCCTCCCAGGCATAGGGATTAAAGGCGTGTACTACCACACCTTGAGGTCACAGAGGTCAACTACCTCTGCCTCTTAAAGTAATGGAGAATGTGGTTGCTGCCCTCCACACTTCCCTGTACATATAGCATTAGATGAATCAAAGAAAGTTGGTGAATAATCAGCATCCCTTCCTCCCCACATGAGCATCAGATAAGGGTTTCTCCTACTTTGGGATGATCTACTATTTATGAAGTGCCAGCTTTGAACACATGTTGAATGGGACAGGCACTAGATGAGCCAGCTGTCTCTAGTAACTCTTGTGTTAGCCTAGTCAGATGTTCTTCATGGTCTGCGTTCGTTTCTTATGCCTTTTTCAGGGCATCTTCTTAGCTCTCATAGTAGTGATCATGAATTATAGAAGATGTTAGACTGTAATATTTACAGACATAGGGATGAAGCTCTCTGAAACCTTTAAAAAAATGTCCAGAGTCTTTTCAGAGAGTCACACCAAGCATCATCTCCTGTTCGATGTGTAGGTAGCATGTCTTGCTTTTCTTCTCTTGGGGAGATATGGTACTCACATGATTCACATCTTGGAAAACAAAGGAAGTAGAAGGAGAAGTGGATAGCTCAGTATTCAAGAGCGTGGGATTTGTGTCAAAATGGGCTCATGTTCAGATTCAGTCATAGATTTGTTGTGTGAACTTGGCCAATTCCTTAACTTCTTTAAGGTTGAGTTTGTTTACCTAAAAAATACACATCAGTGTAGCAGCTACTAAATATTCATATGTGTTAACTGAGCGGCAGTGTTGTGGTAAATAACTCCTCCATTTCCTAACCAACTTGTGAGGTAGCCAGAGGAAAAAATAAGGTTAAGCCAGAAGTGAAAAATGTGGTATCTTTTCTGGAAAATTAGGTTTTGCAGTCAAACCTTGTGCCAGGACAGGTGTCCTTTCGCAGGGGCAGAAAAAGCCAGTGTATGCTCCCAGAAGGGAAGGATGACATTCCCTTTTATCACTTGGGCTCTTCCCTCAGACTCGTTTCTGGTCCTTGGGCTTCGGTGAGGAACTTGAGAATGTCTGGGAATGGTATACTTAGAGAGCTTCGACTTACGAAAGAAACATTAGGGTGAAGAAGAATGAGTGACCCAGAAGCAGCAACTTCTCAGGGCTCACTAGATGGCTCTGTGAGATAAAATAAGGTGCTCTACTACTGCTCAATTATCAACAAAATAAACTGATTGGTACTGCTGCCGGGGCATTCGGTAATACTCACCATGTTCTATGGATGGGTGCTCCATGTCGGAAACGGCAATTTGCCTTATTGAATTCATCTACACCAATGCTAGTCTCATCAGATACGCCTCCAATGACACACCCAGAAACTGTTTAATACAGGATTTCTGGGGACTTAACCATCACAGAAGGGCTTCATTTCGTAAGATAAAGGATAAAGGTGCAGCCTATGTGGTACAGGGGGCTTAGCGCATCTTTGTCGACAATTGTCACATCCCGTCTTGGCCTAGTTAGATCCTCAAACCCATTTGAAATTTTGAGTGTGTGTAAAAATTTTATTTCCTGCTGGTTCTTATGGTATTAAAAGCAAAATTTGAAAGAAGTAATTTAGATCCCACCAACATTGTGTTTGAATTAGGCATGACCTTTGTTTACGTCAACTTTCTCAATTCCTTCTCATCATTCTCCTTCTAGGACTTTCTCTAGTCCCTCTGTCTCTCTCTTTGTTGCCCTACCCCCATTTCCTCTTTCTCCCCTGATAGGTCTTATAGTCCTCCCACTGGGTTGATGTAAATGATAATAAGGGTAGTTAACTGGCTTTTATTAGAGTCATGAAAGTAACTCAACTGATTTCAAGAAGATGCCCCAAACTGTCCAATTATTTAGCAAAGTAAAATGATTATTTAGGTGATTCGTGTTCAGAAGGCAGACAGGAGCTGGGGAGTGGATATATCATATGATGTTATTGAAACGATGCTTCAATATTGAGAATGATAGTGTGAGAGAGAAAGTAACATCAGACAACATTCAGTGTTGTACAAAGAGGGGGGTTATTTGGTGGCTTTGGGGGAATAGTGACTCTTACCCAGGCAGGTAATTTTTGGGTAAGATGTAGTGCACAGATTAACATGGCTGTTAGGAGGAAATGCTGCCTGTCTGCATGAAGGAATCTCATTGCTTCCAATATCATCTCATCTGCTTAGTTTTGCTCACAAGTATCTGAGACACAGTTCTATAGCTAAGGAGAACGGATCTAATCATGACTGAAGTGACAGGAAATAGACTGTCTGCAATATTTTAAGGAGGCATGTTCCAGAGATGATCTACATGTATATTATGTAAATTCTTTAAATGGCACCATGAAGTTTGTTTTGATGTTTAACGCAATGGACCCTTCACAGTAATAGCTGCACATTGGAGCAAGCCAATACTTGGTTAACATTTTGTCTATTTAGAAGTCATTGAATTTCAGACTGTTAATCAATATGACAACTGTAACATTAGCTCTATGGGACAAAACAGTAGGGCTCACGTCAGACTGTGCCCTCAGTGAAAATCAATGTCAATTCATTATTCTTTTAAAAGTCCTTCTTTTCCTTTGTGTTGCTCTCTAAAACATCTGCTAAGTAAGTGGCTTTGTTGTTGGATTTTAGGGCCTGGCACAGTACTCTGTCCTCTTTTATGGCTACTACGATAATAAGCGCACGATTGGATGGCTGAATTTCCGGCTACCTCTCTCCTACTTCCTGGTGGGAATTATGTGCATTGGATACAGCTTTCTGGTTGTCCTCAAAGCGTAAGTTTTTAATATGGTTTCTGGAATCAGTCAGAATCATTTTGAGAGCTGGCTATAATATTGATATTTCATGTATAGAGAATAGCAAACATGGAAGAGATGAATGAGCATTGATGTTAAACTCATCCATCCTGAAAGTAAAAGGTCTTAACATAAACACAGGCCTTTGGGGTCACTCCTCAGGGTTAGAAGGTGGCAACACACAGAGCTGGGAATACAGTAGGGGTAGAAACTTGCATATTATGTGCAAGGCCCTGGGTTCCTGGTGTCATGTCACCTTGCCTGTACTTCAGCATTCTTATCCCAAAATAGAGGCAAATCTCTATTTTAAATTATCTAGTTGAAAAATTAGAAAGCAAAATAGAAAGGAACTACTTTGTGCATTTCAAGTAGAAGGTCTTTGTTTTGTTAGCCAAGACTGTCTGAAAGTCATGGGAATTCCTGGCAAATGGATGCCTGGTTGCCTTAACATTAAGTCTTCGCCTCCCTTCTTTTTCAAAGCTCTGGAATCCGGACACTAAATGCAGTACCTAAGCTTTGAAGGCTTGAATAGTTGAACGCTTTAATGTTAGTGGCTGGGAAACCATCCGTTTCTTCATAGTGTTTGTAGTTAGTAATCTCAAATTCAAAGTGATTTGCTTCCCAAATGTAGCTGTTCTCATCCAAAGCAATTCCATAAACTAAAACGTCTGGATTTTTCCAGCGTATTTCACATCTATCAAACTGCTGAAAGAGCTGAATAATTAATTGAATGTATGCCTAGTGAAGAGCTTATTAATGCCAGTCTATCCCAGGGGACTTTCCCAAGACTTCCCTATTGCAAGGTTCCCCGACAGCACACATTTATCGTTTATAAGCCTGGCAATAATGCTATGATTAGAATAAACTAAAAAAAAAATCCTTTAGTACTTTATCTTGTCATGTGTAAGCTGTAAATGATGTTGAGATTTGCCTCCATATACTGCCTTGCATGTATCATAAACTAACATATATCATAAACTGGTATAAGCATACATATACAAATACTTCTTTAAATTGGGAGAGTTGGCAATATTCATATTTCAGAATTTCTAACAAAAACTATAATTTATACTTCAAATAACAATTAATATTTGCCTAACATGTACTATGCAACATAAAAACAGTTAACTGTTCTTTCATTTTTTGTTTGATTTTTTTTTTTTTGAGATGGGGTTTCATGTACTCCAGGCTAACCTCAAATTTACTTCTTCCAGAGTGATGGGATAGCAGGTGTGTCCCACCATGCCAAGTTTATGTGGTGCCAAGGATTCAACACACAATCTCACGCATGCTAGGCAAGCACTTTATTGAGCTACATCTCCAGTGAAAACCTTTACCTTTTAACTACTGCAAAATAGTTCTAATACCAACTGAAAGGCTATGAAATGAAGACCATCTGCCCTTAGGGCCTTTGGAACCCAAATTTGTCAATGAAAAGTTTCCTGCTGCACCCTTCCCTCTCTCTGTGTTCCTCCTCAGCTTCTGTAGGACCAAGTTGTTCCTCCAGTGTGTCTTGTGTAGTCAGTGAGGATGTGCCAGTTACTGTCATGGGAGAGGTGATGATTTAAGGTTCAGTAGCTTGGTTATCAGGCCATGCTCACACAGTCAGAACAGAATTTTAAACACTGTTCTCTAACTTAGTATTTCTCAACATGTGAGTTGCAACCTCTTTGGGGGGAGGTTGTCGAATGATCCTTTCACAAGGGTTGCTCAAAACCATTGGAAAACACAGATATTTACATTATGACTCATAGCAGTAAGAAATTACAGTTATAAAAATAGCTTTATTTTAGGGGGTCACCATAAAACGTATCAAAGGGTCGCAGCATTAGAAAGGTTGAGAACCACTGCCTTCACTGCATTCTTCTGTTTGGTTTTGTTTTGTTTTGAGACAGGGCTTCTCTGTGAAACAGTCCTGACTGTCCTGGAACTCACTCTGTAGACCAGGCTGTCCACGAACTCACAGAGATCCTCCAACCTCCACCTTTCAAGTGATGGGATTAAAGGCATGTACCAACACCACCCAGCCCTAACTGCATTCTTATTTCCCTAGTCTCTGAGGAGGATTCATTCATCTCATGATGACAAAAATGCATCTCTAGCTTGTCCTGGGTGGCCTTTTACAGTTTTAAAATCCATTTTAAAAATGATTGCTTTGTTGTAAAATCCCTTTGAAGTTAAATTGCCTTGATATGACTCCTGTAGTAATTTTTTTCTTAAAAAACTGAATTGATCAAACATAAGTATATGACAAGACCCATTTATATTCCAGACCACATTAGGATCGGGACCACCTTACACATTGTATCCAAATGAGTAAAAACATTTCTATGTTCTAGTTAAGTTGTCCTTGTACACACTTCTTTCTTTTTATTTCTTTTGTATGTACTTAACCAGGATATCTATGACCCACTTCAAACCCTACCTAAATGTCTTTCATATTTCCTGACATGGAATTTTAGTATCAAAATTGTGTCGCCCTCCTTCTTTCCCCACCACTAATTACATTCCCTTTTGTTGAGAGATTCTCTCATATACATAGAGGGATAAAAACCAGAGCCCCTTATGGGCTCCATGTTGCTATTTTATTTGTCAGCAGTATTTCCACCAGAGATGATAATATCCACTGTTTCTAATGATGAAATTCAGACCCTAAAGGATGCCTTGGAAGGCTCTGTGAGGCTAACTTATGGGAACATGACCTCGCGGCAGATCCGACATAGCACATGACTGTCTCCTTCTCTTCTCTAAACTGCAGTTGGCCTTCTTTAAGGAGTGCTTGGAACAAAAGGACAGTGATGGATGAAAGGTCTAAAGTCACTGTCTTCCATTTCATGTCCTTTCTTTATGACCTAGATCTAGAATTATGAGATTCACAATGCAAAATTCTCTTCTTACAAACACTTCCCAGGATTAATGGCAAATATTTACAAAGTGAGGATGACATTGTCAAAACCTTTTATAATGTCAAGGACGGAACTGGAAAGCGATTCCATGGCAAGCATGTATGCAAAAAGCTATTCATGGTTTATCTGTTTATTGGCAAAGCTTCTCCTGGTGCTATTTCCTTCTGTCCATTTAAAAGCAATGTATGTTATCTTTACTGTGAGCTGTCTAGAGAGCTATCTAATGCCTGGAGACTCATGCTGAATAAATGAGTCTTTCATTGTCATGGTTCTCGGTAAGGGAAATTGACTGTAGGCAAAGGCATGGCCCGCGCTTCTGGCTTCTACCCTATGATTTCACCTTGTACTGTTTTCCAATCCAGTCTTTGTCTTGGTTTCTTTTGAAGAACAGAGTTCAGAGCTTTGTGTCAGCCTTAAAATAATTCCCTCTTTTTTCTGCAGGGCATTTATTCTGTCAGTCTTTATAGGTATTAAAATCATCAGCATGTATCAGTTTTTGGTTACTATAAAATGAGAGAATTACATGAAAAATGCATAAAATTAAAAAATCAAAATAACTATTGTCTATTTACATGAATACCCTGTTTAAAAATGTTTTTCAGACATCGTATTTTCAGTGTGCCCATGACTGCCATTTTGTCCCTCCCCTTGCCTGCCTTTCTTACTTTTTCCTGGCTACTGCTTTTTACAGGATGACCAAAAATATTGGTGATGATGGAGGTGGCGATGACAATACTTTCAATTTCAGCTGGAAGGTGTTCTGCAGCTGGGACTATCTGATTGGTAACCCTGAAACAGCTGACAACAAATTTAATTCTATCACCATGAACTTTAAGGTAAAGGCACAGACAGACCCCCAAATCTTATATTCTTTGTATTCTAAGAATATCGCTGGGAAGAGTACTGTGAGCATTGTCAAATCTCTTGACAGTTGTGAGAAGGACGCTCTCATCATCGCTGCCTGCTATAATATGGACACAAGTCTGATTATGAGGAAATATCCCGTGACCCATGACAGCTGTATTTTCTCTTCAGAACTTTTCTTCTCCAAATTTAGTAATAAGCTATTGCTATTGAACTCAAATAGGAGTTAGCAGAATCCGACAGTTCAAATTCTGTGACAATGCTCACCAGCTATTTGTGGAAACATGTAGGCTCAGGCACATAACTTGGAAGCATGACAACATAGCTTTAAGACAATACTTGGAGAGCAGGCCATGGCTGAACAGACCTGTAACCACAGCGTTTGGGAGATGAGAGGCCCAGGGATCAGGAATATAAGTAACAGCATCAGCTACAAAGTGAGTTTGAAGCCATCATAGGCGATGTGAAACTGTTTCACAAAAGCAAAGACCTACATGCCGACCCACCCCACCCTCACTGTAAAAAATAAATACTGAAAGAGGGTATCTTATAGAGTGAAGATTCTCCCGGTGTTATGATTTAAGAGTCTCATGTAGCACAGACCAGCCTCAAGCTTGCTATGTAGCAGATGCTAACCCCAAACTTATCCATCCTCCTGCCTCTACCAGTTCACTGACTGTACTGTTATGTCATTATTCAACTACTCTGTGGAATTTCAGATTTAGTTTAAATGTTGTTTCTTGTTTTTCTCAATTCACAACCTTTTTCACAGCTGTGTTTCTCTTGCGTTCTGTTTTGCCTGGCTACAGGAAGCCATCATAGAAGAAAGAGCGGCCCAGGTGGAGGAGAACGTCCACCTCATCAGATTCCTGAGGTTTCTTGCTAACTTCTTCGTGTTCCTAACACTTGGTGCAAGTGGATACCTCATCTTTTGGGCTGTGAAGCGATCCCAGGAATTTGCACAGCAAGATCCTGACACCCTTGGGTGGTGGGAAAAAAATGAAGTTCGTCTCTGCATGCTTGGAAACTCATATTTGCTATTTTGTGGGTTATGTTTCTGCAGTTGAACATGAGACAAGGCTGCTCCCTGCTTGATTCTCCATTCTACTCTTCTGCTTATCCATCACACTGCACATTCCCCACCATCTTCCTGTCCTGTTTCCAAATCCATGCTGTTGGGTTTTCAAGCTACGACAAGATGGAAAGTTAGAACGAGAAGGGAAAAGAGAATATTTTATAGAGGGAAGGGCAGATCTTAGGAGATGGTATGACAGACAAAGATAGGAAAACCAGACTGACAGCCTTGACATTTTATTTCAATTCTAAGACTCTTCCTATAACCCAATATTGCTTTTTCGGAAGATGTTACTTCTACAACAGAAAGGCCAGGTTTCCAGATTAGTTTGCTCATAGTTCCTATACCTATCTTATAAGAAGCACCCAGATTGCCTGGTTAATGTTATGTTTCCAGGCTTTTCACGCGAATCCCAGTGACACACCTCCATCTCTTTATTGCCAAAGCCTGTGTTCCTCAACTATTCAAGTGAGGAAGGCCAGCCCTTGGCCAGATTTACCTGCAGAGAATCTGGTAATCAGTGTGGAGGAGAGCGGTGAATGTAACATAGATTTTACACCAGGAAATCATTGATCCTGAGTTAGTGCTAGAGTCTGCGGTACCTGAGGTATTTTTGTGTACCACACGACATCAGCTTGAACTTGGGCATTTTCAAAGCACATGCAGATTTATGCTATGAGATGCTTAGGTACCAAAGATGGAAACTTCTGTAAAGCTGTGTAGATGGAGGAGTTTTGAGATGATGCTTCATAAATGTACGGTTTCTTAGAAACATCTTAGTTGTAAAGTGATTCAGTAGACATATAAAAAATACCTTTACATGAAAACAGTGTAAAAACTTCAGAAGTGATAACAGCAAAAATGAACCACACATTTAGAGATCACAGTATCACAGTTGTTCCATGGAAACCTGTCTTTTTTCTCTTAAAGGATTTTCAGAATATTCTTATAATGATGATAGTAAATATAAGAAAAATGTCCAGCTTTTCTCCATGACACAATGTTCCTATTTTAGTGTAAATGAATCATATCAAATGATGAATGGTTACCGATCATTAACTTCTTCCCATCACTCGGGGGACAGAAAGCTAACAAGTTTGAAGCCACCTGGACTTTTGACTGAATTCTAGGCCAGTCTATCTCAGTATCCCGAAAAGAATAATCCTTGTAAGAACACATTTAATATCTGTTTAAGAGGAACTCTGAGCTCTAGAGTTCCTCTTAAACATACAAATGAAGATAATAATGGAGACTCAAAAATGACCCCACACATCTACTGGTACAAAAGCTTGACTGTCTTTATATGGTGGTGTATAGAATCTGCCAAATTCTTAGTGTCAGTTGAGATATTTCATGCTGATTTTATATCATGCTGAGTTGTACATCATCTTCATCATTCTAATAGGGTGTTTTTAGTAAAAAACCTAAAAGATAGCTATTATATTCTAACTATATTCTGGTAGTTCTAATCATTTAAAATATGGAGTATACAAGGGGAACTAAGAAAATGTGTAGTGTCGACAGTTTGAATCCTGTGTATAGAGAACAAGTTGCAGGACTGACTTCTAGTCTTTTCCTCTTCTTTACCTCATTTTCAAAATGCCTTACATTAGCATATCACAATCAGTAACCACATAGATCAGTGTGTTCTCTGGCTAGAGAGATAAATTGTGCACTCACTCTGCCGAGGAAACATGACCATGGGCACATTGCAAGTTCATGCATAGCTTTTAAATATGAGTTGAATATTGTCTTTGTTGTTTTATTGAGACCAAATGCTAAAAGGGCGTGGCATAGTCTTAGCTTTTTAAAGTATCAAAGTAACCTAGCTGAAAATTTTCTCAACTTCCGGAGGGAAGCCGTAATAACTGAAACGCCCTGATCCCTGTGTCTCCTTGTAGATGAACATGGTTATGTCCCTCCTGGGGATGTTCTGTCCCACACTGTTTGACTTATTTGCTGAATTGGAAGATTACCACCCTCTCATTGCTCTGAAGTGGCTCCTGGGGCGCATTTTTGCTCTTCTTCTAGGCAACCTGTATGTATTTATTCTTGCCTTGATGGATGAGATTAACAACAAGGTGAGCCTTGTGTCTGGATTGTCCTTGTCATCAGCATGCTAATTTCCCAGTCTAGCCTTTGAAACTCTGCTGTGTTATTTTCCTTTCCACCTTGTTGATTCCTAGATTGAAGAGGAGAAGCTCGTGAAGGCCAATATTACTCTGTGGGAAGCCAACATGATTAAGGCGTACAATGACTCCCTCTCCGGGAACACCACAGGACCACCTTTTTTTGTTCATCCTGCAGATGTACCTCGAGGACCCTGCTGGGAAACAATGGTGGGACAGGTAACGTTATGAAGAAAAGTTCATGTTGTTAGGGGGCAAAGCTGGCTGAATATTTCCTCCAAACTAAGATGTTTTTGTTTATGGTTTAGTAATAAAAATAGAGAAGGTTTATTGAATATGTAGTGTTTGCTGGCTCTGTACTTCATATGTATTGACAAAGGGAGACTTCATATCTATCCCCAGAGATAGATACATTTTCTTTTTATAGTACTTTTATAGCTGTACATAAAAGGATAGCTTGCAATCATGTGAAGAGATTCATGCCACTTACTACGTGCTAACAACGCACCCTGATTTAGATACAGACTCAGACAGTGATAATGCGGAGCTCTGCCTAATGTTACTTGTTTTTATAGAAAAAAGGCTCTAATGGTTTTATAATACCAATTTTTATCTAATAATTTCCCATTAAGCCTTAAAACAAATGCTATCTAAAGTTGTTTGTTTTTATAATGGTTATGTAAATGACCCTGGTCTAAGACTAGTGATATTTACCATATAAAAGAAATAAGGCCTCATTGCTTATGTCCAATAAAGGGAAATAAAAATCAAACAAAAATAACCAGAGATGCTGTTTCAGAGTCTTCCACTTATGTACAGATTCTATTTGTGTTTTCTGAAGCTTGTAATTTTATCACAATGGAGAAAACACTATTAGTGTTCATTCAACCTTAATTTATCAAGTACAGACAAATTGAAGTATATTTTCGTGTTTCTAGAACATAGCAGTTCAGCTGTATCAGTCATGGAGTCTGTGAATTACTTAAATGGATTTTTAATTTTTTTTTTTTTGTTTTTTGAGACAGGATTTCTCTGTAACTTTGGAGCCTGTCCTGGAACTAGCTCTTTTAGACCAGGCTGGCCTCGAACTCACAGAGATCCACCTGCTTCTGCCTCCCAAGTGCTGGGATTAGAGACATGTGCCACCACTGCCCGGCTACGTAAACAGATTTTAAAATAACATTTTCTATAGGATGAGAATATCAATGTATTAGCACAGATCTTACTGAAGTAATGCAATGTAAGCAAATATGGCCTCAAAAGACATCTTCATTCTATGTCTGACGTTCAGGAGGTTAAGCCAATCAAGATTTCAATTATGGGAGAAATACACACACACACACACACACACACACAAACTCACTAGAATTATATGATTGAATATGGAATAGAGAATGCAAAGTCTAATGAAATATTTTGCTTTATTTATTTTTTAAAGCATTGATGATCAGATAAGTTTCTTTTTTAGTGCATACTGCTCTATTTTCAGGCCTTCACATGCTTCTAGAGACATACATGAAGAATAAATTGATACCTGTATGCTTTTAAAAGAGAGATTCTATGGGCTGTGGTGTGGCAGGCAGAGCAAGAACTGTCTAAGTTGTTCACTTTGTGGATTTAAACATGTAGCGGCTTAGCAAAATGAATGACCCTGAACTATGTTGAGTGAGTCTAATAAGGTTACAAGGGGTATCTCTCTAAGAGAGACACAGAGACAACATCAGAGAATTGAGATGTGACAAAGAAAGCAGAGGTTGGAGTGATGTGCTTAGACGTAGAGGAAGGGGCAAAGGCTGAAGGTGTGTGGACAACCTCTTGGAGTCAGAAGGCTAGGGAAGCAGATCTTCTGTGTCTATACTTTGATTTTAGACTTCCTACTTCCAGAACCAGGAGAAAACAGTTGTATTATTTTAATCTACAAAGCCCATGACAGTTAGTTCTGTCAGGAGCAGGCAGTCACTTTTGGGTGCATGTTGTAGTGCTCTTTGGGAAGAACATTCTCATGGGCTGTTTCTTCACGCCTAACCTGTCCCCTACATCTGCAACCCGGCATTTGAGAACAGAGACCCTTATAGTGTACAGTTTGCAAATGTGCAGCTTGATAGGCTTTCTTCTGGAATATACTAAAGCCTGTCCTTTGACAGGCTAGCACCCGATGAACAAGATCACTAAAACTAACTGTAAAGAATAAGATACAGGATGACCATTTCTGAGGCAATGAGAGATTAATTCAACATGAAGTACCATTCTAAGAGAACTTTATATTCCTGATGTAGAAGCTTCTGTGGAAGTTCTCCATGTGTCAACCCCTAATAACACAAAAACCATGGGCTCCAGAACATGCTGTGTATCTCAGAACATGCTGTGTGTCTCAGAACATGCTGTGTGCAGTTTTCTGAATCATATCTATAGTGAGTTTCCCATTTCATTATTGTTTCTTACTGCCATTCTCTCCCTTCTTCCTTCAGTATACTGGTAAGAGACACACCCCTGCCATGACTGACTCTGCTGACTTTCCCATAAGTGTTTGACACCCCTTTGGAGGAAGAAAAGTAGAAAAGAAGGGAAATATAGCAGGCTGGCTAGGTCGGTGGAATCTGGGAGAGTAACAGTAACTTGGTGTATATATCAGCTTTGAGTGTTAGTAAGCACTGGCCCTCATTATATCAGTATTTCCATCATTGTTTCTGGAAACATTTCTATCTTTTAGTCAATTAAAAATGAAGAAATAGTAAAGGCAGTTGAATTTATATAATTATGAAAATGTACCCTAAAAACGCATGCTTCAATGAAACATTCTAGGTGTTTTCTCTTTTTTTCTTTTAATGTCTTCTATTTTGTTCTTTCCATGATACTGTGGCACTCAGAGCTCTCTTGGTTCTAAACCCATTAAATTTGCTTTTCTTTCAACTCTGAAGTGCTTTTCAAATAATAATTTATTACCTACAGTGGAAGGTAATAAGACAGACAACAGAACCTTCACTGTAATCCAAGTAGCCATGTTCTATGACTGACACTGTGTTTTGAAGACAAATAAGGAACCAAATGCTGAGGACCACAATAAGAAAGGCTAACACTGATTCCCATGAAATGTGCCAATCATGAACTCCTTAAAATTTTAAGCTATTCATGTGAGATCCACCCAAGCATCATCACTCTGTAGAGGAGAATACTGAGAGATAGCTATGCTCCAGTGAGCATGATCCTAATTAGTCTGAACAATAGAAACCCAGAGTCAGATATTAGGGTGAAAGCTGAGAGATCAGAGAATCGGAGCAGCAATCACTAGACTTCAATCCTCTACAAATCCTCAGACTGAATCAGGGGCAGTACTGCTAACAAATCCCTTTTAAATGCTCCATAGCCAGACCTCATCAGAGTTTGCACTAGCAGCACAGCCCAGGAAGCCATCATTTCAAAATTGTGTGGCTTTTTTCTGCTACCCTTGAATCAGGAAAACTTGTCTTAAAGGAGCCATGATATTAAGCCATGCTTAACTCTGTTGTTTTGCTTTTGTTCTTGTTTTGGTTTTATGCTTAGAATTCCTTCCCAAACTCCCTCAGGTTTTAAGTGAATTTTAGTTGCCCATGTTGGGCGCAGATTTGTTATTGGGGGGAGGGTGTTTGTTTGTTCCTGGCTGCTCAGCCCTAAAATAACCTCACAGAAACTTTATTAATTAAATCACTACTTTACCCATTAGATCTAGCTTCTTATTGGCTAACTCTTACATCTTAATATAACTCATTTTTATTAATTTGTGTATCACCATGTAGCTGTGGCTTACCAGATAAAGTTCCAGTGTCTGTCTCAGGCAGAGCTATATAGCTTCTCTCTTGATTCTTCCTCCTTTCTCCCAGCATTCAGTTTAGTTTTCCCCACCTAGCTCTACTCTACCCTATTAGGCCAAGCCAGTTTCTTTATTAACCAATGGTATTCACAGCATACAGTGGGGAATCCCACATTACCATCTGATGATTGATACTTAAAATTTATACAAGTGTGTTCAGATTCTCCCTGTGGAATTGATGTAAAATGTCACACCTTGGAGGAGAATAATATTTCAGTCACTGGGTGATGACCCTTCCTTAAGGAGGCATGAGGGATTGTCTCACCACTCTGAAATTTTCCCTTCTCAGGAAATCTGAAAAACTAAAAAAATAGCCTCTTCAACCTACCTCTAGACCATGCTTGTTGTCAGGATCTTAGTATTGACAAGGGAATAAAAAGGCGAACGTGAGAACATAGAAGAGAAAGATTTCATTCCAGAATTACCAGGAATTACTAGCGCATATAATCTTTTGTTTCATATTTACTTAATAACTGATACACACCCAGAATTTTTGGATACTAGAGATATAAAGAGATTGAAATATGGACCCATTTTGCAAAAATTACAGCCTATTTATTACACACAGAGAGGCAAGGACATTAACAACATAATTATAAAAAGATTTCAAATATACATTGGCAATGAGACAATGATAGAATGCATGGAATCTGAGTGCCATTTTGTTATAGCACTTCTCTGTATCAGTGAACAAAGGATGCTTGCCTTAGTCATGCTCTGACCATGTTTGTCAGTTGGTATAGACTGTGACAGGAGGGGAGTGAGGCAAGTTTGGTTGAGGAAGACCATGTGCAAGGCCAAGTACCCTGGAAAAGTATGGAGTCGGATGGCCTAAAGGAAGGCTAATGAGACTCAAGAGAGAAAATAATGGAGGATTAGTACAAGAATACCAGAGAGAGCTGTGTGCAGGGGCCCCTAGAAGGATGAGGAACTGCTTGCCCCAGTGACGAGAGCTTTTAAAACACCTATGAGCAAAGGCGTTTTTTTTCTTTCTGTCAGTTTTTTTCTGTTTTTCCTCTACTTTGGGGTCAAAATGTCCTGCTGCTTCCAGGCTTTTGTCATGGGTTACTTTGCAGGAAAATTAATGTTAAAATAATCCATAATATATATTTAAAATTTCAATAATCTTTTGTTTTCATTATATTTACATTGTAGTAAACTTATACCTAAGGTAGTTGATTTATGTATTTTACTTTAATATATTATAAAATAAATATTAATTATTAGTGTTTCATATGTTATGCAAACATGGCAAGGAAGGTGATGGTGGCTTATGATACTGGGAGTTTAGGGGGCCCAGCTCTGAGGCATGAAACTGGAAATTCACTGATTACTCTGTCAAATGCTTACTTGCCCTATCAGGTATTGCACTTGTTATTTTAGAAAAAAAGTCCATCTAGACAAATGGAAGTCAAAAATCAAAAGACTTTTTACAGAATAGTGGTATTTCTTTTTCTTATCTTTTTGAAGACAGAGTCTCATGGACCCTAGCCTAGATGTGAATTTACTGTGTAGCTGAGGATGACCTTGAACTTCAGATCTTCCTACCTCTGTCTCTTTAGTGCTGGGGTCACTGGTTCCACCACTGCTGGTTATTATGGTGCTGGGCATTGAACCCAGTGTTTTGTACATGCTAGGTGAGCACTTTATCAACTGAGTTATATCCCCATCCTTGAGAGGTAAATAGTACCTCTCCAAAATTATGACTTTATATATTCAATCTCATTAATCTTCAGAGTACAATTTATTATTGAGAAGTAGAGAAGGAACATCAAAAATAAACTATGATGAAGAGTATTTATAGTTATTTGGCATTTTTATTAATGGTTGTTGTCATATATTTCCATGAGGTAATACTAACCTTCCTGTCCAACTAACAACGCATATAATTTGCATTTAATTTAATTTAATTTCAAACCCACACCACAGAAGTGACTTGCCTTTTCCAGAACATATATATGTGTAATACACACACACACACACACACACACACGCACACACACACACACACATATATATATATATATATAAACATATACATATATTTCATGTATACTCATAGACATATATATATATATATACACACACACACACACACACCTACATGGGTGTTTTGTTAAATATAAGTTTATTCCACATATCTTATCCTGTAGATTTTTAAAAACTTGTGTTGAAACAAGTTTTTTGGATTTTTAAAAATATCACTGTTGTAGTTTGAAAGTGAAATACACTCCACAGGGTCTTGTGTTTGAAAATGTGATTGCAAGCTGGTGGCAGTGTTTTGAAAGATGGCAGAATCTTTAGGAAATAGAGCCAAGCTGGAGAAAGCAGAGCACTGGAGGGAGGTCTGGGGTAGGGTTTGCCTGAACACCACTGATGTTCATTCTTTGCTTCCTTACTGTGTTAATATTGTGACCAGCTACCTCATACTCATGCCACTATGCTTCCCATAGAATGGACCGTATCCGCTTCAAGTGTAGGCCAGAGGAAACTCTTCTCTCTTATGTAGCCTCCTGTCATGTATTTGGCCACACCAAAAAAGAAACTAATACAAGCACTTTTTAAAGCAACCTCATTGAAGTTTCAGCCACATACCATATACACATTACACTTTCAAAGCATACAATTCAACACCAGATACAAACCTAAAATGCATGCATATTGAGTATTTTCCACTTGTTTTTAAACTTTGGTGTCACAAAGTTTCTCAGTAAAAAGAAGAAGCTGGTAAGGAGATTTGAGGATGGAGCTGCTTAGTTTAGAAGTAACAAAATACATGGGAGCTAGTTTTCATTTACTCCATATGCCTACTTGTCTTTTTTCTCTTTTATCATTAGCTTTAGTCTTCAAACCAGTGACTTAGAAACATCACAGTTTTGATATCAATATTAGGGTCATCTGAAGACAAAAATGTGTTCATTAATAAAGACTGTATTGTACCAGGAGTTCGTGCGACTCACCGTTTCTGATGTTCTGACCACTTATGTCACGATCCTCATCGGTGACTTCCTCAGAGCGTGCTTTGTGAGGTTTTGCAACTACTGCTGGTGCTGGGATTTGGAATACGGATATGTAAGTATGGTGTTGACTTCCCCTTTATCAGATTTCTGCTCTGTGATTCATTTACACACACTGCATGAGTGAAAGGGTGCCTCAGAGTTACACAAGTGAGGTCACCTCGTGAGATGTCAATAAACAAATATTCATCAGTGTAGTTATCTGTTAACTAGTTTTTCTCTGTCTTGCCACTCAACCCCCAAATAATGATAGAGACTTTTTTCTCCATTTTTTTTCTCATGAGAGAGGGTTTCTTTGTGTAGCTTTGGAGCCTGTCATGGAACTCACACTCTGTAGCCCAGGCTGGCCTTGAAATCATAGAGTTTCACCTGCTTCTACCTTGCAAGTGCAGGGATTAAAGGTGTGTTCTGATGTAGTTTATAGTTTTACTTTTCCTTAATTATGATAAAAGATAAAATAGATATAAATATTGTAACATTAATTCTTGTTTGATAACTGTTTTGCTATATGTAATTTTACTATGTTAAAATGAAAGTCTTTCTTTTTTGTTTAAACAGAAAAAGGGGAAATGATGTAGGAGAGTCTTATGCATTTCTGTTGCTTTCATTGGCTAATTAATAAAGAAACTGCTTGGCCTGATAAGTCAGAACATAGGTGGGTGGAGTAGACAGAACAGAATGATGGGAAGAAGGGAAGTGAGGCAGTCACCATGACTCTCCTCTCCGAGACAGCCGCAGGTTAGAATCCTCCCAGTAAGCCACCACGAGTGCTACACAGATTATTAGAAATGGGTTAATCAAGATGTGAGAGTTAGCCAATAAGAGGCTGAAACTAATGGGCCAAGCAGTGTTTAAAAGAATACAGTTTCTGTGTAATTATTTCGGGTAAAGCTAGCCGGGCGGGTGGCAGGAAGTGGCCCGCTTCCTTCTACAGTGTTCCACCACCACCTGGCATTACAGAGATGTAGTCAGAGGCTGCTTGCTTGTTCCCCGCTGCCCAGACTTGAAATAGCCACACAGAAACTGTATTAATAAAATCACTGCTTGACCCATTAGCCCTAGCTACTTATTGGCTAGCTCTTACATATTAAATTACTCCACTTCTATTATTTTGTATTTTACCATGAGGTTTGTGGTTTACCAGCAAGGTTCCAGTACATCTGTCTCATGTGGTGGCTGCATGACGTCTCTTTGACTTTGCCTTTTTTCTCCCAGCATTCAGTTTAGTTTTTCCACCTAGCTCTATTCTGCTAAGCCATTGGCCTAAACAGTTTTATTCATTAACCAATAAAAACAACACATGTACAGGAGGACTTCCCATACCATTTTCCCTTTTCTATTTAAATAAAAAGAAAAGTTTTAACTTTAACATAGTAAAATTACATATAACAAAGCAGGTATCAAGCAAGAATTACAGTTACAATATATCTTTTTATCTTTTTCATAACTAAGGAAAACTATAATTATAACTATCTATTCTTCGACTCCATCAAAGACTGCAGAAGGATATAATATTACCTAAATTAACAAAAAATGCTTTGTAAGCAACTTCCAAAACTCTCGTAATGACAGAGATATCTCGCTGCCTAAACAGTCATCCAAGGTTCTTTTGTAGAATTGGAGCATCCATCTTCAGCCTTCAGACCCATAGTATCCTTCAAACTTTTCCATGAAGCAGAAAATTTCAAAGACAGTTCTGCCTATATTGGGAGTTTATCAGTCACTTTATTCTGTATCCTGCAGAATGTGTGGCAGACCTTTATGAAGCAGGAACCCTGAGGGACCATCTCACCTTTAGACAAGTTCAGCAGTCATTTCTCTGTGGGTTCTGCGTGCCAGTTCATACATCATAACATCAAGAAGTCCAGACAAATGCAGTTTATTGCCCAAATGGATAATAAACTCCATAAATAGTCTCTTCAGTGCCCATTATCCTCTTGAAGTAGATTGGTGTTACCAGGAGCAGATATGTCTCATTTTCATGAAAAGTCCTAAGTTCTTAAAACATTTTAAATGCCTTATTCTGAAGGTCTCTGAAAGATTTGGAGAATACCTATCTAACTGAAATATATCTCTATATCTAGAAAACCTAACTAACATAACTACAAACTTGATTATTATAGATGACTATCTATGAACCTCTATTTTAAATTATACATTACATTTTTAAATGAGTTGCACAAACACAATGCCTTAATGAAGAACAAAAATGGGAGGAGGGGAGGAGGTGAAAATTTTTAATAATAAATAAATAAATAAATCTAGAAAATATATATACATATAACAAAATTGACCTTAAATTTGTATCACTAGATCAAGATCCATATATCTATAAATGCAGAGTATTCATATCTACAGCATATCCCCCTTGAAATGTAAAAAAAAATTTATAAACAATATTTGGGAATTTGGGCATAATTCTTTCCAAACTGCTTTCTGTTTATGTTGAGCAAAGTAATTTTGGGGGTTCATGGAGACCTTTTGAGTGGTCTTGGTACATCAAACTACATTAGTCTGGATGGAATCCACAGGTTCTCATCCTCTGTGGAAACAAAAGTAGATCTTCTTTTCCAAAGCAACATATCCTTAGACCCAAATTCTGAAATAATGATACTTTTAAAATATATATGCTGATTTAGCTTAGCAGCCCATACAATGAAATGTCTTTCTGTACTTAGCTCATTTACATTAAATAATTAAAGAAAACATAATAATATACATAATCCAGACTCTCTTTATTTTCCATCTTTACATGGTTTATTTTTTTTACTCTATTACTTTTTATACAAGTTTAAAATTTATTTATTATCTTTAATCCTTTAACCCATGACTATCTGTACTCTCATAACTGTCTATACTCTTTCCTCCGCCTCAAGCCTATGTACATTTATCCAACATTGTTACTCATTTAGAGGTCTTTTAATATGAATCTGTCTTTATTGTGTATCTGTAATCCTTTTCTGATCAGAACCACTTTTTAAAAATGCTAAACAGGTATAGCTAAGACCAACTCCATAGCACTGCCTGTTGGCCCTGCTCAGTCCAACATGGTTGAGACATGTTCCCAGTCTCTGAAAGCCATGCACATTGCCCCATTTTTTAGGCACACAGCACGTCTTATGTTGCCATTAAGCAAGTTATAGCACTCTGCTTACAAACCTCATTTAAATACTCCATAGCTGGATCTCTGAAAAGAGACAGAGCCATTCATGCTGGCCAACCAGGAAGCTGCTGTTTTTAAAGAAGTCATGAAATTTTTGCCACTGAAGCTGAATCAGGAAATCTCTTAAAGGAGCCATGTCTCTGCTTGCCATCAGCAAGCAGAGCAAGAAGTTGCATCAATATCCCCCCTCTCTGTGTGTGTATCTGTGTGCATGTGTGCGTGTGTGTGTGCGTGTGTGTGTGTGTGTGTGTGTGTGTGTGTATGTGTATCTAAAATTCCTTCCCAAAACTTCTAGGTTTTAAGTGGATTTAGTTGACCACCTTTGCACAAATCAATTTGGTGTTGGAGGCTGCTTGTTTGTTACCTGCTACTCAGACCCAAAATAATCACACAGAAACCACATTATTTGCAATACTCTTTTACTCTTTGGCCAATAAATCAAGCATATTTTAGCTAGCTCTTGTATCCTACACTAACCCATCTCCATTAGTCTGTGCATCACCAAGAGGTTGTGACTTATGGCAAAATTTCAGTAGGTTCCTGCAGAGGCATCTGTCTCTTGTGTCAGCTACATGGTTTCCCTCTGACTTTACCTCCTCTCTTTCTATATTTCTTCCAGCCTGGCTATATTCTGTTAAGCTATTGGCTTAAAGCAGCTTCTTTATTAACCAATAAAAGCAATACATATACAGAAAGAATTCCCACACCACAGAGATTTCTTATTAATTTTGAAAGTTTCAGCCTATAGCTTAGGTTTGTTCCTAACTAGCTCTTAGAACTTAAATTAACCCATTTATTTTAATCTATGTTCTATCACATGCCATAACTCCTCTTCCATCTTGCATCTCCTGTTTCCTCTCCAAGTCTTCTGGTGTCTATCTTGGGGTCTGGATTCCTCTTCTTTCTCTTTCTCTGCCTTGAAGTCCCATCTGGCCTCCTGGTCTAGCTATTGGCCATTTGACTTTTTTTTATTAAGCCAGTCACAATGACACATCTTTATACAGTGAAATCAAAATTTCACAATAGTCATAATTCAGAAAGACCCAGATTTGAGTGTCACGGTTTCTGATACTAAAGAAAAGTCAGCTCTAGATCTTTAAAATTATGGACCTTGAACTGTCAGTTAAAATGTTGAAGGAAACCTTGGTCCCAGGGTCAATTCCTTTTCCATGACGCTAGTTGGTATCACTACAAGATTGTTATAAACTGTATACTCTTTATATCCCTGTGAATTTTGTTGTGGGACTGGGTAACTATTGCACACCAGTTACAATGTGATACATGAAGTATGAGAGGGTGCAGTGAATGTGGGGTTTGCTTTATGTGGCTCACAGACTAACACTAGCCTGACAAGAGACAGCAGTAGGGGACTGTGGAGATTTCAAGAAAGACTCAGTTTGCTGTCAGGCCTTAGTTTAAATGGAGCCCAGGGGCAGGCTAGTTTTCTAAAACAATAGTACAGGTTTCTCTGAACCTCTGTGGTATTGTATTTATCACCAGCTTTTCTTCTATGTCCAAGTTAAAGTTACCTTCATACTTCAGGAAAGAGGAACAGCATACATACTTGGTTCTTGTTCTAACATGTCAGCAGGTCTCCATCGCTGTTTTGAACAAATAAAATTTGTTTCAGTTAACCCATAGAAACAGGAGTTGCAGAAATGTTAGTGTCCCTGTGTTTAATTAAGCCCTCCATGGCTTTGTGAGCACCCGAATGTGCCCCAGATATGTTTCTAGGGCTCTCAGGCTCACTCAGTTTCCTTCTTTTCTTTCTGTTTTAGCATAATTGTTGGGTTCTAATTTCCACAAATATAAACTTTTTAAATTTTCCAACACAAAAAGGTCTTTTCATTTGCACTTATTATTTCTTCCTTAAAAGGATGCTGTTGTCCACT